AGATGTGTGGGAGGGGAAGGGAGGCTCTGCTGGTAATCCATCCATCCATCTCTCTCTCTCTCTCTCTCTCTCTCTCTCTCTCTCTCACACACACACACACACACACACACACACTGCCCAATTTGCATGACTGGAATGCAGCTCCATTTCCGGCAGGACAGCTGTTGCATTTCTGGGTAATCCAAGCTTCAGTGCCCTCAGAATCCAGGAATGGGGATTTTGAGGGGGGCGCTGAGAAGGGGAGAAGGCTAGGGAAGGTCATTTGTAAAACTTGTCAGCTGAGGAATTCCTACTGTCATGGATGGTGCTTGTAAAAAAAAAAACACCCTCTCTTTACATAGTATTCTCTAGACTCAGGGCTTTTTTTCAGCTGGAACTGTGGAACTGAGTTCCAGCGCCTCTCAGATGGGCACCATTGCCATTCTAAGAGAATGAGGGAGGTGTTCATGGTGAGTTCCAGAACCTCTTTTTCTAGAAGAATAGCACTGTCTAGTCCAGGGGTTGTCAACCTGGTCCCTCCCGCCCACCAGTGGGCGTTTCAGGATTCGGGGGGGGGGGGTTTCTATGGCACAAGCTGAATCCTCCTTCCATTGAGCACCGGCGGACAGTAAGGAAATTTTACCATCAAGAAAGAGGCATTAGTGGGCGGTAGGTATAAAAAGGTTGACTGCCGCTGGTCTAGACTGTACTGTTCTCTTGAATATAATTTGCTTTAATGCATTTGAATATTGTATTTTAAAATTGTTGTAACCTTCCCTGGGACTTCATGATGGAGTGGTAAGATATCTAAACAGCAGCAGCAGCAGCAGCTGTCAGGGAATACGAATACTTTTCTTTCCTTCTTATATATATTGTTCATTGCTAATATTTATAAATCACAAATCTTTGAGCAGAAACACTCTCTCTTACTGATGAATTGCGGTGAAAGTATTCATTCCTTCTGATCACTTTTTGGAATTTTCAGAAATAAACAAGCTGAGTTTAACTTTCAAAGAATATGAGTGTACTTACGGTAGTTCTGAACAACTGCAGATAAACAGCAGAATGTGATACTGGAAACAGAATTCAGCTTCCTGAGAAACTCATACCCTTTTCAGAAAGATGAATGGAATCTTTTCACCCATTTCTCATCCTTCAAGTTTCTAGCTCTCTTCATTGCAAAGATAAGCTTCAAAGCATTTGGTCTCCAAAGCTTAGAGATGTTGCGCAATACTATTTCCAGTTGACAGCGCTTGAGCTTCTGTGCCTCATGGCTGACCATGATTAAGAGATGCAGAATACTTATTCTTTTCATGAAAATTAATTAATCATTGATTGTTTATTACTGGAATAGGATGCATTCTTCTACTGATATAAACCTTGTAATTAGGCTGCAGCTTATGCAGTTACCTTGGAGTAAACCCCATTAAATACTATGGAATGGATTTTTGTGTAGGCACACAGAGGATCGCATAGTCTTATTACAGATGATTATATGCTATGGTCAAGGAAATATTTGCATTCATGCGACTGTAATTACCTGTACATGCCATCATTAAAGTAAAATGGTTACTCAGTTTCAGAATAAATTAAAATGGAACAGAGAAACATGAATTATGCAAAATAATGGAAGAACAACAATAAAGTAGACACAATTGGATTTGGATAATTTATATCACAGAATTTCCTTGGAACGAATATGTTGCTTTAAAGAAGGGAGAAGGAAGAGCATTGTATACACAGCCCGACAAGGTGAATCTGATAAAATTGCAAAGCAACTTATGGTGTATTCAAATTGCAGCCTAGTACTGTCATATCTTGAAGTACGGTATATCACTCAGGGATTCCTCAAAGCAGCTTTCAGTTCCTACTAATGTGTAGAAAAGAGATTCACTTTTGTTTATAGAGCCAAGAATGGTGATAGTGTGGCTATTCCAGTTTAATTAAACCGGAGTAAAATATTGTGATTTTGTTTAAGTTGCTCTTAAGCATACCCAGATGACTATTTCTCTTCAAAGCAGTTATTCACAAGAATGGTAAGGTTGCAAGACCCCTGAAAGGCCACCTAGTTTATCCCCCGGCCATGAGTCAGAACTCGCCATCCACCAGCATCCCACAAGAAAAAGCAAACTACGCCATTCAGACCACAAGGCGAGCAGAACACATCTTTTGCAGAAAGCTGATTACAGAGTGAAATAGCTTGGCACAGTGAGCCAAGTTTAAAAAACAAAGCATACAGGGGCACTGCCAAACTGACCTGGGGAAATTCTTGTCATCCCCAATGTATTTGTTTGCTTGCTTCTATGCATACATTCAGATGTCTTTTTTCTGCCTGGGGCACTCATATCAATTTACAATGAATCAGTAAAAAAAACCCCAACAAAACCCCACACCTGAAATCCATTGTAACAAAAGTTCAGCCTCCAGCAAAGTCATAGGAGTAGTAGCTAAAACAAATAAGCAATAATAAAAGCACCACTGGAAGCCAACTAAATCGTAGAATTATAGTTGGAGGGGGAGGCAGAGGGCATCTAGTCCAACCCCCTGCAGTGCAGGAATCATTTGCCCAACATGGGGCTTGAACCCACAGCCTTGAGATTAAGAGTTTCATGCTCTACCAACTGAGCTATCCCAGCACTCATTTTTTTTTTAAAAAAGGATATATCTTGTAAGGGGTAAACTATATGCTGCAGAGAATGTGGTGTTGCAACTGATAATGTCTGGTATAGACTCCCAACATTATCCCACTGTGAATTTCTCTGTTGCTTGTGGTGATGGGGAAATTGCTTTGTGTAAGTTGAACAAGATGTTTTAGAAAGGGGAGGAGACTCTACCCCTTTCTGCCATTTTCAGCATAGGCTGCCTTAAACTGTGCAAGACAATTGGTCCATCAACACTGACTGCCAATGACTCTCTGGGGTTTCAGACAAGGAGTCCCCCCCCCACCTGAAAATGCTGGGGATTGAACTCAGGAGCTGCTATGTGCAAGGCAAATGCTCTAGTACTTAGCTGTGGCCCTTTCCAGTCGAGCCCTCACTCATTTTAATGTGCAGTTCTGCTGGAAATTGTTCATCAGGGCAGGGGCATAGTGTGGGGAGGACCAGGGGGGCTGTAGCCCCAGGCACATGGTTTTAAGGGGGCATGAACCAGGTGCCCCCCACAGGGACCTTCCCCCTGCCTGCCACTGGGGGTCTCTGGGCCTCAGGGCCCAGCCTTGCTGGTGTACCCCTGGTTCCCTTGCCAAGGGTCGCGTTGGCCAGCCGGGCTCCCATCTGCATGGACAGGTGGGCAGCCAGTGCAGCGCGGCCCCGTGAACTGTGTGCCCTGCGCCTGGCAGCAGCGACAAGGCTTTGGCTGGTGCAGTGGGCTTTGTTCACCCTCCATGCCCAGCGCCTGGTCACTTTCAAGGTGAACGTGTGCATCTGCTCTTCACCCTAATTTCAGTTAGCGAGGGAAATCACCTCTATCTTCCATCCATGTAGTCAAGATTATACATTCCAAATGAGTGTAGGTATTTCTTCCACGTTCCAGCAGAACACTGAACATTGACCTGGCACCCGCCATTCCAGGAAGATTCATCTAATGGACCCTTAGCATGCACATTCCTTCTATCTGTAGAGGATTAGGCTGGGCCTGCAGCTTATGGAGGAATGTTCAGCAAAGTTCTGCGTATGTCACAAAAGTTCATTGCAGTCGTTGGACTTTTTTTGGGGGGGGGTGTCCTCCCCAAAGGAGTGGACTGATTTTGTTCATGTTCTTCAGTTCCAACTCTACAGTTCTTTGATTCTATAATTCTATGATTCTAAGAGTCTGGGCCTTACACACACAGAGAAATGCTCTCCTCCCCAGCGGGTATGTCTGAATGTGTTGAATTCGTATAAAGATGGTCTTGCTGGATCAGATCCATCTCTAGTTAGTTGAGAGCTGCAACAGTTTAACTTGCTTGGAAGTAAGTGTCATTGAGTTCTGCGGTGCTTACTTCCTTGTAAGTGGGTGTAGCTTTACAACCTTAGTTGTTTAGATCAACCAATTCTAAAAGAATATTTTCATTAACTAAAGAAGATGCTACCCTTTGCTTACAATGAAGTGAATTATTTGTTAATATAATATGTATAAAAACTGCAGATGTCAGGTACCATCTTAAGAGGCTTTCCCCCACTAATACATCCGTTTTAATGCACAATTTCTCCTAACATATGCATTTTGTACATAGTACATAGCAGAATTTGTAGAAGTGCTAATTTCGAAGAATAGCTGTGTTCATGCATTGTTTCGGGAAGTGTGAATTATTTAGCTTTGCATTAAAAAATGAACCAACAAAATTTGCATGGAGGTTATATGATCCAGCCATCAAGTGATTGTTATCTTGTACCTTCCACTTTAGTCTTCTGACACTTCTTTCAGTAAAAAAAAGTCCTACGTATTTATTTATTGGATATGGGTTTGTTGTGCAAGAGCACACTGTTTTGTTTTGCAAAGGGTGTATGCCAACATCTACCTGAATGTGTAAGGAATTAGTGCAGAAGTGTGACAGTGAGTGTGAGTTGTGCCTGTTTCTAGTGGCGGCTGGTAGGGTGGGAGGCTGGCAGACTAACAGTAGTTGGAGCCAGCCAACTAGGAGACAACTAGGTCTAGACAGAGACAACTAGGTCTAGCCTTGGTCCCATCTTCCTCCCTGCTGAGTTCTACAAGGGCAAGACTGAGACTGAGGAGGAGGAGGATGAAACTGGCAGCCGTGACCACCCCCTGGACTGGATGTAAGTAAGAAGGCAGGTGGGCACTTGCTGAGAGGAGACTGAGGTTGGTGGGGCAGTGCCCCCTTTGCCCAAATGGACCAGCCCTCACTGCCTTTTGCATTGTAACATGTCTGCATTTTAGTACCTTCAACAGCAGCACAGCTGTTCTCTTCACATTGTGGCTTCACAGACATATGTCCATGGTATCTGTTTGTGCAATGAACAGATATTTTTATTTTAGCGATCCCCCATACTAAATCCCTGACCCTGTGTTTGTCATTTCAGCCTGGGAAGGTGTCCGAGCCTCACACCTTCAAAGAGAAAGTATTTAAGAAGAAGAAAAAGGCCTGTGTTGTGTGCAAGGAATCCATTGAGACCCAGGGTCTTGTTTGTAAAGGTAAGAGCTGCCCAGATATAGTCCTCCCAGTCTTCCTCATCTTTCATAGCAGAGAACAAAAGGCCCAGTCAATATGAATAATTCTCCATCTATTTAACACAGAAGCCAGGGTTGTCATTCAGTTAACAAGAGCATCCAGGACAGCAGAATTAAAAGGAAACCACGTGGTGATTAAATAACCACACCGTGCTCTTCAATGTGCTTTACTGTTGTACCATATACCTTATTGTTAATTGCACATCAGAGAGAGTCCATCTTTAAGGTTACAAGGTGTGGATCTGGAATAGCTTTTCTGAAAGTGTGTTTTTTTCTTGCAGTGTGCAAAGTGGCAAGCCACAAGAAATGTGAAGCCAAGGTAAGAGCAAAGAGGAGTTTGTTAGAAAAAATAGGGGGCACGGTGCTGTTTAGTGGCATATAATAATCACTTCAATTTGCATTCTGTGCACATAGATGCGTGTTCCTTGGGAGTTTTATAAGCCTCCCCCACCCCACCCCAAAGGCCCCTTCAAGTGTGTGAAGGAGCAGCAGCAGCAACTCCCACAGCCCGACATTCCATTCCATTCCTTGCTATGTGTGGGTCTTGTTAGCTCAGTGCTGGCGAGTGCATGCCTCCTCTATGAGGTCACCACTCTGTCCTATGTTTTGACTGTTTGGTGTCAAAATGCCCTGTTTTAAAATGGAAACAGGGTGCCTTTGCCTGCTCTTGCGAAATGTCAGCCACCTGGGTGGAAAGATCTGAACCATTTTGGGGTTGCCGTTCCCAGTTTGAAGGATGGTATCCTCATAATCACCATTCTTTATATAGCACCAGCCATATTCATGGCGCTTTACAGAGCACAAGAGGGCAAGTCCCTGCCCTGAGGAGCTTCCAACCTGAAATTGACACACAGGAAGCAGAACCAGAAGGGGGGTGGGCAGAGTTAAAACAAGGTAGGAATCTGTGGTTGTTTCCGTTCTATGTGCTTAGGGTTGGTTTAAGGCAAGGGTGAGGAGTCTGTGGCCCGTGGGCTAATTGTGACCCTCCAGTCGTATGGGGCTGTCAGGAATCTCCCCATGTCACACCCTTCTCTGGGCCTGCTCCCCAGCAATGCCACGTTGCAATCAGTGGCGTAGCAAAGTCAGGTGGTACCCAGTGCGGTAAATTTCTTGTCACCTGCCCCCACACTGAAATTATTAAAAGAAGGAAAAATAAGATGCTTACAGTTGCAAGTGTTATTTTCTGGTTTATTTACTTAACGTTGTGAGCATAAGCACTTAAAACCGTTTTTTCTCTAACTTTGTTCTCTGCAAATTTTGAAATCACATAATCAAAATCAATTCCTTTTGCTACTTTGTTTTCAATTGACAAGATGGCCAAGCCAGAGAGCCGAGCTTGACTCATAGTGGACCTAAGATAACTCATGATTAATTTTAGTTTTGAAAAACTCCTCTCACATGATGTCTAGCAATGTAAACCGAATTTTCGAATAACTATTCAGAGATTTGAAATAAGGCTCAAAGCAAACAGGAAATTGCCCTAAAAATGGCAATATATTCATATATTTGTGTTTACCTTTTAGGCTGTGTTCCTGTTTCAGAAAATCACATAAGCCTCTAGTAAAAATGTCATTTATGGAAATAGCAGGAGTTATATAATCGGGTCTTACTCAAAAATGTCAGGAAGCTACTTTGCAACTACTCACTTTTAACCTAGGATTGCATCCTCTGCAGGGAGATAGAGCAGCTTCAAGCTTATCTGCCTAATGACAGAACCACCTTGTGCCAGTTCATCTCACCCTGTACAGCAGCTGCACCTTGTCTTCATTGATCTGGTGCTGAAACCCACAAAGTACTTAGTACTTCAGTACTTAGCAAGTGAATATAAAGTAAAGCACCAGGGACTACCATATTTTTTGCTCTATAAGACTCACTTTTTCCCTCCTAAAAAGTAAGGGGAAATGTGTGTGCATCTTATGGAGCGAATGCAGGCTGTGCAGCTATCCCAGAAGCCAGAACAGCAAGAGGGATTGCTGCTTCCACTGCGCAGCGATCCCTCTTGCTGTTCTGGCTTCTGAGATTCAGAATATTTTTTTCTTGTTTTCCTCCTCCAAAAATTAGGTGCGTCTTGTGGTCTGGTGCGTCTTATAGAGCGAAAAATACGGTAATTAACAAACCCAAGGGGGGGGGAGTACTCTATACATTTACTTGAGAATTGCATGCCTAATGGTACCTGTAGCATAATTGCTTCTAATTTCTATTGCTTATGAGGATGACTTTTCTCTATACTTTTCATACACGGCTATGCTGCCTCTACAATACAATACAAAAAAGATCACCAGGATGCACCTGTGCCAGGTAGTGTGTAGAACCTTGACCATCAACATAATTATTCAGGGCTCGAGACCCAACTAGTCATTCAAATATTTCTCGGTAGTGGCGCCCGCCCTGTGGAACGCCCTCCCATCAGATGTCAAGGAAATAAACAACTATCTGACTTTTAAAAGACATCTGAAGGCAGCCCTGTTTGGGGAATTTTTAAATGTTTGAAGTTTTATTCTGTTTTTAGTATTCTGTTGGGAGCTGCCTAGAGTGGCTGGGGAAACCCAGCCAGATGGGCGGGGTATAAATAATAAAAGTATTATTATTATTATTATTATTATTATTATTATTATTATTATTATTATTTATTATCAAATAGATTTCTAGCAAATACTTCTATAAAACTTGAGCAAATTATGTCATATTATTTTCTGTCATTTGAATGAACTTGAGAATGGTAGCTACACCTAGTTCAAATGGCTGGAGAACTAATGGCTCAAACTTCATGAAAAATGGCACCTAGAAGGACATATCTAGTTTTAAAAAAATACTATTAATGACTCTATTGTTTCAATTCATTTTATGCTCCTTTACATCTATGTTTCTAGCTTTCATTTCCCTCCTCTACTCTTTCCCTGCTCCATATCATAAACCCAGATAGCATAACTGCATAGTTTTACATATATTTATTGATTGCATAGCATGTAATTAATCTATTGATCATTCACATTGTCAATTAAACTTGGCTCCGTTAGCCTATGTTTGCAACTAAGGCTGTGATCCATCTGTCCCATTCTGCTTGTCAGTGGGAGATGGAAAGCAGAGCTCACTCCATCAGCTCTTCTGTGCCAGACCTAGCCATGGCTACTCAAAAAGCAGTCCCATGTCATTCCATGAGGTTTACTCACAGTTAAATGGGGTTGGGATTACAGTATAAGACTGCAATCCTATACCCACTTACTTTGAGGCACATCCAGCTGAACTTGGATGGGAATGACTTCTGAGTAGATACTGTAAAGTAGGATCTCTCTACAATTGCAACCCTGCCTCCAGTTACTCAGGTATAGAACTCATGCATAATTAAGGGCAGGATTGGATCCACAGCTATCACACAGACCTACCCCTGGGGATGCACACATGCCATGGTAATTTCTCTGCTCATAGAATCCTATCCTGAGAATATTAGGCTACAGTCCTACACACGCTTACATGGAAGTAAATCCTATTGAACTGAATGGAATTCCTACTAAGGAAACATCTTTAAGAATGCACTAGTCGTTTCACTCAACATTAGCTGTGATGTGATCCACTTGTCCCATGGATTTCAAATGACCAAAATGTAACTTTCTCCAAATTGGGGCCACAGAACTGTCACATATTAAATGTAATTAGTACAAACTTCGTGACAGGAACATTCACCTGCACATAGACACCCAACTCTACAGATCAGCCTTTCTCAACCTAGGTTTCCCAGATGGGATGATGCTAGCAGGACCAGTGGGGATGATGGAACATCGTGGCAAGAAGCAGGGGGTGGAGTGGTCGGCGAGAGCTTTAAAATAAAGAGGCGCATTTTGGCCGTCAAAGATGACGGTCCCTTTTCCACACAGAGGAGGGTTTGGGGGTGTTACAGTCTGAAGGTGGGGGGGCACGGAAGGAAAGGAATCCAATGCAAGCATGAAAATGATGGCGTTGGAACTGACCTGTTTGTGTGTGTGTTTAGAGGAGGCATGGGTGGGGGCAGAATGGAGAAGATCGAGGGGAGGAGGATCAAAGCCCTGGCAGCTCCCATGTAGTTTGGTGCGCGTTGATTAAACACGCTCCATGGTGTGTAGGAGGGAATGGCATGAATGAACAGGGGAGGAAAAGAGGAAAAGGAAGGCGGCAGCAGCAGCCGCTGCAGCTGACTTGCTTTGGTGCACAGGTGCGCAAGGCTGGATGGAGGAATCACTGCCCTCCAAGGCCCCTCAGAGCGACCTCTAGGGGCAGAGCCTCCTTAAAAGGGCAAACGGGATTCTCTGGGTCCCACCAGCCTTTATTTGTGCAAAAGGGGTTGGGGTTCAGCCGGCATTATGACACCCAGGGCAGACTGTACCCCACACCCCTTGGTTGTAATGCAGAATAGTGCCTCAGTGGTAGGTTTATGTTGGACTGTCCATACTTCAGTCCCACCTCCCCTTTTAGTTTTCCTGCGATGCTTCACCAGTGTTACCACATTATTGCCATTTGGAGGGGCACTCTTGCACTATAGCACAAGACATTCAGGGAAAAACTCCACCCCACCGCTGCCCAGAATATGTGCGATATAGAAATAGGTCACAGCCGGTTTCAGCAAGAAGCTATGGGACACTGGAAATGCAGCAATTATTTATCTGTTTCTTAAAATTTATATACCGCTTGATTGTAAAAATGAATCATGAATGCACTACAGTGGTACCTCGGGTTAAGAACTTAATTCGTTCTGGAGATCCGTTCTTAACCTGAAACTGTTCCTAACCTGAGGTACCACTTTAGCTAATGGGGTCTCCCTCTGCTGCCGCCGCGTGATTTCTGTTCTCATCCTGAAACAAAGTTCTTAACCCAAGGTACTATTTCTGGGTTAGCAGAGTCTGTAACCTAAAGCGTCTGTAACCTGAAGCGTCTGTAACCCGAGGTACCACTGTATTTATTTATTTATTTATTTTAGTCTCAATGCCTTCATTTATTATCTTATTTTTACTTTTTTTAATATACATTTTTATTAGTTTTTACATATATTTTCCAAACAGAACATTTCATCTCATCTCATCTTATATAACATTTGGGTATTTTAGCCTGAGACTTTCATCAACCACGTCTAATGATTTTCAGACCTCATCTCTTAATCTTACATTTGTTATCCTAACTATTACTTTTAATATAATCCATAACTTAAAATCCATTCTCATAAATCTTTTCTGCAGTATTTCATATAGTTCTCCTTACAAAACTTCTTGTAGTCCTACAAGCATAGTTGGTTGGTTACAATTGTCTTTCAGATAACTTGTATATTTACTCCAATCTTTCAATAATTTCTGG